AGAGTGGCATGTTAAGATCCCCTACTATCAATGTATTCATGTCAACATGACTATTTATTTTTATTAACCGTTGGTTTATGTAGTTGGCTGCTCCCCTATTGAGGGCAGAAATATTTGCAATTGTTAGATCTTCTTGGTGGATAGACCCTTTAAGAATGATGTAGTGTCCTTCTGTATCTCTTACTATAGTCTTTAACTTAAAATCTAATTTATCTAATATGAGAATTGTTATTCCAGCTTTCTTTTGAGGTCCATTGGCATGAAAGATGCTTCTCTATCCCTTCACTTTCAGTCTGGATATATCTTTAGGTTCTAAATGGGTCTCTTATAGACATCATATGGATGGGTCCTGTCATTTCATCCTCCTAGTCATTTTGGTGAGAGTTGGTTGAGGGGATGTGTAGCTGAATATATCAAACACGATCCAGGCAAGGTGCACCAGGGACTTAATATATCGTTTTCCCCTGATGTTGGTATTTTATAGTTTTATTGAGACCCTGTGGTTGTTGTCATCTTGTTCTTCTGGCTTATCTTCTGGGGGAGGGACCTGTCGTGTTGTTTTTCAGTCACTCTCACTTGGACTGAGTCACCCTGCCCCATATCAAGGGATTGGGCTCTATGGAAACTGGTTTTTCCAGCTTTTGTTCTATGGAGGGTTTTTGTTCTTTGGTGGCTTTTTGTGGCTTTTTGGAGGGTTAGTGCAAAGTAAACTTTCTACACCCAGTCTTCTGCCTCAGAGAGAAGCCTCAGTCTGCTTCCCCTCTTGATGGTCCAGAATACACAGTCTCCTCTTCTGCAAACTCTGATGAACACTGCAAAATCCTACAGGCATTGCGCATCTGCAGCCACCATCTCAGTGATTGCCCGAGGCCCCCGCTTGTCTCTGCACCCCTATGGCACTAAAACCATGAGCAATATTGGTCCCAGGAGCCCAATTCCTGTGGCTGCCATTGACAGGACTGCTGTCTGGAGTCCAGGTCCACACCAGGTGTGCTCATATTCAGCAGCTGTGGCACAGGTCACAGAAGGCTGCAGGCCCAGGGATCTCTGGTAGGAGCCTGTGCTGGGCTTTCTCAGCTATGGGCCAGAGTGTGCCCAGCCCAAGTGTTGGTGCAAGTAGTGGAAAGCCACAGGCTCAGGGACCACCAACTGGAACTACTACCGGGCTGTCTCAGGCATGCGTGGGTGCTGGCTGTGAATGCCCTGGCACCATGGGCTTAGGGCCTTGCCCATGCTGCCTGATTCCACCAGTTGTCCCTTTGTTCTTTTTGAGTGCTTTTAACCAGACTCCAAGTTAATGCTGGTCTCCCAGCGCAGCGTACTTTTGTGTTGGGCTATTACTTTCCAGTGGGTCACTTCTGGTGGCTCCCTCTCCCTTCTGTTTATCCTTCCATATCAGTCTGAGTGCTCCCAATCTGCTTTACCCTACCACTGATATTCTTCTGCCCCCATAGAGATCCAGAGGTGTATAACCTTACATCTCAGGCTGATTTCATGGGTGTTCAGAGTGTTCTGGTAGATATTTAGCTCACTTTAGGGGACCAGTTGAAACAAGGTCTCCTACTTCTCTGTCATCTTGCCCTTCCTCCCTCCATATGTTTACTGGTTTCAACACTTACCACAAAGCTAAGGTAATCAAAACAGTATGGTATTGACATAAAAACAGACAGACAGACCAATGCTACAGATAGAGAGCTTGGAAATAAAACCTTGTTTATATGGTCAAATGATTTCTGACAAGGGTACAAAGATACAATGGTATCAGAAAAACTGGATACCCACCAGCAAAACAATGAAGCTGGACATAACACCATATGTAAAAATTAATTCAAAATGAATCAGTGTACATGATGTACATGTAAGAATTGAAACTAAGAACTCTTAGAAGAAAATAGAAGGGGAAATCTTCATGACATTGGATCTGGCAATGATTTCTTAGGTATAACACAAGTATAGTCAACAAAAGAAAAGTAGACAAACTGAACTTCATAAAAATTAAAATCTCTGTGCATCAAAGGAAACAACAGGGTAACAAGGCAACCCATAAGTTGGGAGAAAATTTGCAAATCACATACCTGATATGAGATTAAACAAAACAAAACAAAACAAAACAAAAGTCACAGAATTACCATTTCATCCAGCAATTCTATTTCTGGTAACATACAGAAAAGAATGAAAAACAATGACTCAGACATCTGTGCTCCCATGTTCATATCAGCCTTATTCCAAAGGGCCAAAAAGAGAAAACAACCCAAATGTACACTATTGGATAGATAGGTAAGATAAACAAAATATGGTATATACATGCAGAAAGAATATTATTCAATCTTATATACGAAGGAAATTCTGATACGTGCTACAAGATGGGTGAACCTTGAAGAATTACACTAAATAAAATAAACCAGACACAAAAGGATGAATACATAGAAAGTAGAATAGAGGTTGTCAAGGGCTGAGGGGATGGGACATTTTTGGGCTGAGGGGATGGGACATTTTTGGCCTGTACTGAGTCTGTATTTCCATGTAAATCTTAGAATCAACTTGTCATAATCTACAAAAACATTTTGGGGATTTTAATTGATGTTGGGTGCTTAGGAAGATTTGAAAATGTAACAATATTTAGTCTTTAATTAATGACCATGTTACATTTCTCCATTTACTTGTTTATTTTCATTTCATTTATCACAGTTCTATAGTTTTCAAGGTTAAAACTTTGTACATATTTTGTTAATTTTATTTCAGAGTGTATTATTCCTTTGATGTATCGTGGATTTCACTTTTATTTTGTTTGTTACAAATTATGTAAGTACAATTAACTTTGGACATCATCCTTATTTCCAGCAATCTTGATGAATTTGTATGTTATTCTATTTTTTGTAGATTTCTTAGGGGTTTCTACATACATCATCTTGACATCTAAAATAGAGCTATTTACCTCTTCTTTTTCTTTTTTTTTAAAGATTTTATTTATTTATTTGAGAGAGAGAGAGAGAGAGAGAGCATGAGAGGAGAGAGGTCAGAGGGAGAAACCCAATGCAGGACTCGATCCCAGGACTCCAGGATCATGACCTCAGGCGGAGGCAGTCGCTTAACCAACTGAGCCACCTAGGCGTCCCTTACTTCTTCTTTTTCAATTGTTATGCCATTTATATCCATTTCCCAACTTACTGTATAACCAAAACTATACTGAGTAAAAATAAAGCAAGTGATGATCCTTGACTTGCTTACAACTCAGAAACTATAAGGTTAGTGAGAATTATTCTTTAGGGTTTATTCAATTAAGGAAGTTCCATCCTATCCAGACTTTGTTGAAAGTGTTTCTTATGAATGACTGTCAAATTTTGTCAATTTTTTTTTTTGCATTTGTTGACATTATCATAGGATATTTCTGTCAAGTTCTTCCCAGTGTTCTTCTTGCCTTAATTCTGTCAAGTTCTTCCCAGCATTAATTCTGTCTTAAATCTGTCAAGTTCTTCCCAGCATTCTTTTGAAACAACAGATTACATTTTTGTGTATTAACCATTTTTACTGTATAGTTTAAAATCAGTAACATTATTTCAGTATTAATAGACCGAATTTTACCAATTACAACACCTTACTGATGTAGAATTTGTGTAAAATATTCACTCCAGAGAGTTATATTAATCATATTGATTCACTAAAGAGAGAGAGGTGGGGGAGAGAAGGAGGGGAAGGAGTTAAAGGAAAGGAAGGAAGGTAAAAAGGAAAAAGTGAAAGAAGTGAAGGAAGGAAGGAAAGAAGGAAGGTAAGAAAGAAAGAAAGAAAGAAAGAAAGAAAGATGAAAGAAAAGAGGGAAGAAAGAGGGAGGGAAGGAGAAATCAACCATTGACTGCTATTCTTTTATTAACTAAAAGGAAGAATGGGGACTCCATAAGAACAATTTAATCAGCTTTGACAGCCAGACCCATGATTCAGGATGATTTAAATCGTCTGTGACAAAAGAAGAGTTAACAGTCTGCAAAATGTCCATTATCTTTAGTTAGCAAGGGCCTATTGATTTAGGACCTGGTGTGACTCCCATAGGATGTTGGTGAGAAGTGAGGTGGAAACTCAAGTTCAGCATTATTCACCACCAACAAAATACTCCAAGGTAAGTCTGTTAATAAGCTACAAATTAAATCTTTGTGCTAAATAGCTATAGATGTCTGGGGAATCCAGGAAGCAGGCTGTTTGTTACTTGCTGTAATTTCTTCTGAGATCATATTTGGCAACACTGTTAAAATAATGTCTTTAATGTTTACATAATAAATGATGAACTCTAAAAGTTGTCCTCTTTAATGCTAAAGTTGTTTTGTCCAATATAATCTAATTTCACCTAAAGATGTCTTCCACAGCTGTACTTCAGTGCTCGTGAGCAGATCAATGAGTTTTGACTGATAATTTATGGCTCTTTCTGAGGCAGGATTAGCAGCAGGGTAATATGCCAACCATTTAGAGCATTAGACAGAACTTGCTATGACACTTGAGCATAATTCTATCAGGGAATCATTCATGCACAATCTCCTGGGGAAAAGCATTGATATTGAGTCCAGTGATTGCCACCTAAAGTCTCACGCTTCCCAAATGCAAATCACTGGGCTCCACGTTTGTGCCACCTCCAAAAGTCCAATGTGATGCAAGGTAAGACTGGGGCAGGAAAAACTATTGTGCACTGTCCTCAGATAGTCCTCTGTATGAAAAGGTAGAATGCACTTTCTCAAGATCAGATTATACAAGTATTACTGCAGCCACTTAACAACTGGGAGTCAATGGGATGCCCTAATGTGTAGGGATGAGCCCTGATAGGTGGCTGTGGACCTAGGTTTGGTACTTATACAAGGACATTGCTTACTTAATAATGTCAACAAAAATTACATGCAGGAGGATTGACTATGCTCTGAAAGTAAAAGAATATTATATTATGAACTTTCTGTGAATAAGCATTTTTATTAACAAAAAAAAAAAAAAAAAAAGAGTTCAACAGAAGGAAAGCTACTTACACCAGAATAGAAAGGCTCACCAGACACACATATCACATCCTGTTCCTGGATCATCAAAATATCTTTGGCTAGGTGCAGCCGGACTTTGAAAGGCTCCTGATTACCATCCTGCAGCAAACAAATCCCTGTCTTTGTCTTCAGGCAAGAAAAGAACAAAACAGAGGAAAAAAATTTTACTTAGGTTATAGAATATAATTTTATGGGCTATTCACAGCAAAACATGATGAATAGCATTTGAGAGCTAAGGAAAATGCACTCTGATAAATCTGGAACATAATACTTAATATAGGAGCAGAGACAAGGTTAACCATTTCATGTGAAGTAGACCTCAGGTAATGGAGATTTGTTAGAAAACCCACTAAGATTAGGAGAATGAGGAGTATGTTTTTATACTAGATTTGAGAAATAATCAAAGTTTTGTTTAATACATATTATCTAAATATAAAATTTTTGATAAGAGATTTATTGAGATATAATTCACATTCTATATAATTTAACCCCTTAAGATCTATAAGACAACGGTTTTTCATACAAAGTTGTATAAGCATCATTATAATCAATTTTAGAACATTTTCAAAACTCTAAAAGGAAACCTATTGCGTGCATCACCCTAGCCCTCCCCAGCCCCACACAACCACTAATCTACATTCTGCCTCTATCATAGAATTTTGAAACTGAAACCATACTTACTTAACATCATTTCTATCCTCCACAATTTCATCATTCCTATTTGCCAACACACACACACACACACACACACACACACACAGTACAGATAAGAAAATGAGGATAAAGGGGAGAAGTGAATTGCTTAAATTAGTACAATTAATTAAAAACAGAGCCTGGCTTAGGACCCCAAATCTGTGATTCCCAAGCCATTGTTTTGCTTCACATATGTTTGGGGGAATTATAAAAATAGCCTGTGAAGACTGCTGAACTTGCACTAGATAGCCTTCCACCAGTAATCACTTCAGTAATCACCGAAGAAACCCACAAATCCCATCACTCCTGAAAGTATATAATATTCACCCAGATAAATAGAAATATGCTGACAAACCATGACAAACTGTGGACTCTGAGAAAGAAACTGAGGGTTCTGGAGGCGAGGGGAGTTGGGGGTTGGGTGAGCTTGGGGGTGGGTATTAAGGAGGGCACGTATTGCATGGAGCACTGGGTGTGGTGCATAAACAATGAATTTTGCAACAATGAAAGGAAAAAAATTAAAAAAAAAAAGAAAGAAATATGCTCCCTAGCAAGAGCACTTAAGTTTCTCATTTGTCAGAAATACAAAAGGAAATTTTTTTTTAGACAGAAAATAATCACTGGCTGTCATTCTGCACCAGAAAGTCAATAGGAACAATGACCACTTTGGCAATTGTATTTTCATCTAATAATTATTAAGCCATTCTTAATTCAGATAAAGGATAAGTTTATAGAAATATGTATTTATCCTTAGTATTAATGAGCATAAAATTCTAGGCAATAATACCAGGTTTTCTCTTAGAATATAAATCTACATATGGATTGCTAGGAGTTTGTTTCTTTAAAAGAATGTTTCATAATGTAAATGGGAACATACTTAGATACTGATGCTGCTAAAGATAATTCCTTCTGTAAATAGCTTTATCCCCATATGCTAATACATACCATCATACCCTTTATCACTATGGGCTTATATTAGTCTGTAATTATTTCATAAGTGTTATGATATCTTTTAAGAAAAAAACAAGTCTTTTCCAAGAGCAAGGATGGTGTTCTTTCCTCCTTTACGAGACTGGCGCACAGCAGGCACTCACTAAATTGTGTCGATTAATCTATTCTAGAGCATAACTCAAGTGGATACGTCTAGAGGACAAAAATATTTCAGCAAAGGCAAATGAAATTTTCCTTAATATAGAACATAATTTTCTACATTTTCACAGAGAAACGTCTTTCATGCTTACAACGTGATCTTGGCTGGGAGCCAACATCAGGACTCTCTGAGGTAGCATGGGGAAGAGGAGGGTATAAAATAATATCAAAGCCAAGTGAACATAATTGAGCGCATTTGCTGATGTTTTAATGCACAGTATAGTCAGGCCAATTTTCTCCCAGAAGTGTAATGGAATAGCTGGCAATGACAAATAATGCTCTGTCTTAACGTGAGGATGAAAGAGGGGTTTTCCCTGAGAGCCCATAAATACATTATTGTTACACATCAAAGAGATATCAAAGATCATCCAGGGAAAGTTTGAGGGACAAAAATATAGCTATGAGACTTCTCTCGTTACATCTGATGTGGTCAAAGCTCCATTCACTCAAATAATGTATAAAATGTCCCCTAATTATTAGACAGTTATCTGCAAAACAGAATATATAGACTTTGAGCTCACATATGGGTCCTGAAAAGACAGAATTAAAGAGAACAAACAATGAAGTAGCTTTTGTTAAAATGAATACACACACACACACACACACACACACACACACACACACACATAAATAGCTGTTTGAAGAAAACAGAAAACAGCACTAATGAAGCTTAAAACAAATTGAACTTAAATTCGTTCTTTAGGGGTTATAGATTTTACATATATGTTATAAAAATTCAGCTATGTACATGAAAACATTTAAATCCCATACATACATCAATTTTGCAAATAATTTACAAATAATTCAGACATGAATCAGACAATCGTCTCTGACCTCAGAGCGTTCTTATTTATATAATATACATACATGCATAAGCTGCAATGTGGTATAAGATGTGGGAGCAACATGAAGAGAAGAGTTAAATATTTTTGAGGAAGGGAGGTGTTAAAGAAGGTTTTCTAGATAAAAAAAATGTACGGTCATCTTAATAAATTGAGGAAATAATTAGAGGAGGCAAAAGTTATTTTATTCAAGAGGGAAAATGAATAAAATTATGAAAGTATGAGACTGGGTAGCTGACATGATTCAAGAAGAGAGAGGCATGAGAATGCATCCCAGTGCTACGTCTGCATAATCCAGCAGAGGCCAAGGGAGAAGAGGTGCCAGGTGAAGAGGAGGAAGGTCAAGGCCCTTACGTGATATTCCAGGAGTTTAAAGGTATTAGAGATGCCTTGGAGAAGTCTGAACAGTGATTTATGTTTTATAAATATATTTCTTCGAAAAGGAGATGGATAGGAATTGGGAAAGATACAACATACTTTTTGTTAACAGATATATAAGCCTTGAGCAGAAGATGTTGAGAGCTGATAAATAACTGCATTAGAGTCAGAACTGGTACAGTAGATTAAAAAATAGGTAAAACCCATTTCTGGGAAATCTTCTGATTCAGAACAGCAGTTCTGAATGTAGTCATATTGTTATTTGTTGTTTAATAACCACTTGTGTAAAGTTTACTGTGTTTCCAGAAATACTATTTCATTTGTTCCTCCTAACAACCCAGTGCACCCACTTTCATAGATAGGAAAGGAGCAGAGGAGCAGAGACAAATGGAAGTCAGGATCTGAACCCAGACTGCTGGCTCCTGATTCTGTGCTCTTAACCACCTGCTCTGGTTTCACTCATGCACAGATTATTTGAGGGATGCTTCCGCCCAATCCTCCTGTAAACAGTGATATGGCCACTGGTGTCTCTCACCAGGAGACAGCACTTCAGTCAACAAGAATCTCCTTTGGGAGTACAAACAGTTGTGAGAAGGTCATCATCTTGAACCAACTGTATTTTTCTGTATCAAACAATGACCACTGGGGGTAAAGTGAGCGAGACCACTCTGACCAGATGATTTATCCATCAAAGGAAAGCAACCGAGGATGCATAAAACACTGTCTCATATGGGGAGAGGCTTAATCTGCATAGCCTCATCCTCCATAGATTGCTTAAGGCTAAAAATGGGAACCAAGACTGCGAGAGCGGCCACTAGAATAGCATAACCTAAAAGAGTCTGGCTGCAGTCATCACATCCATGCACCCAGACTGCGGAACAATAAAAAATCACCTAAATAAGTATTGGCTGCACATTTTACTATAAACTTAGATCCTGTACCTGTCTGTTTCTTTATTAACATAAGAATCATTTGTCTTCAAACTTTGTGGACTGTGTACACATTGCACATGAGTAAAGAAAGGTATGTGCTCTATGTAGACGTATACAATATATTATGCAAATTATGAAACATACATAAAACTTGAAATTTTAAAGGGATGGTTCATAAAAAATGATATAGATTCAAATGTTTTCCTGTGCCTGATATATGATACTATATTGCATGGGGATTTTACAAAATCCACATTGTTTATTTAGAGGACTATTAAAAGGCCATGCATCTTAATTATTTAACAGACAATACTTTTTTAAAAATCTAGTCATCAACTAGCTTTCTGTAAATCAATGAAGTGTGTTTATGAATTCACATGAATTCACTCTGTTTTAAACAAACAGACCTCACAGTTAAACTTAACAAGAATTTAGGCTTAGCTTAAACCTTGGAACTTTAAAAACTTGGCTATGATTCCTTTCATACTTAGAAGTTAAGGTTTCTTTGGGCACCTATGTGGCTCAGTCAATTAAGTGTCTTCCTTCAGCTCAGGTCATGATCCCAGGGTCCTGGGATTAGGGTCCCACCTCAGGCTCTCTGCTCCACAGGGAGTCTGCTTCTCCCTCAGTCCCTCCTCCCACTCATTCTCTCAATCTCTCTCTCTCTCTCAAATAAATAAATCTTAAAAAGTTAAGGCCTCTTTAGGTTCTAGGCTTTGAAAGAACATGCGCTTTCATGAAACATTTTTTTTTAGAGATTTTATTTATTTATTACTTATTTATTTATTTGGAATGTGTGAGCATGGGGAAGGGCAGAGAGAGGGAGAGAGAGAATCTCAACCAGACTCTGCATTGTGCACAGAGCCCAACATCATGACCTGAGCCAAAATCAAGAGTCAGACACTCAACCTACTGAGCCATCCAGGAAACACCACTTTCATGAAACTTTAAAATCTATGTTTCTTTAATCTTGAAATATAAAACTTGTAATATCAAACATAAAAACTACAAACTACAAGGGTACAGAGACCATATATGTCCTGCACATAGTTTTATAGGTATCCTTGATATTTCCATATTTTGCTTGCCAAATATAACTTAATTTGTTCTGTAAACTTATAGTTTTAAGTGTTGTGTAATTTCTTATACCCTACCATATTATTGCAATATTGCACTAAATGCCATTTGATGCCATCTGCCTCCAACTGCATTTTGTACTCCCTTCCAGGATTACTTCCAGTCAAGATCTCCTTGGCTAAATGCCAGTCATTTGTCAAGTCCTGGTACATGACTCACTTCACCCTGAGGCTTTCCAAGACCACTCCATCCAAACAAGTGTTTCCTTTTTTGAACTCGGGGTTTTTACTGAATAAATATCTTCACCTAACAATTAAGCAGAATTGTATTTAGGCATCACATGTAGAGACTTCAATAATATCACAGTATTTAACCTCATCACATACATTGCTATCACAAGAAGATTTTAACAATAAGTTAACACCATTTTTATCATTGTGGACTATTAATATGTAGGACCTAGTACAGTGTTTTTTAGAGTAATCTTTGTTTCAATATTTGTTGATTGAATCATAGTCACAAATTCTCTTACTATGTGAAGGACTAAGTTAAATTATATATGTAAATGAATTATAAATTATTAAATATATGTTACAGAAAATATGTATTTTCATGGTCAACACAGAGATGTGAATAATATTTAAGGAATATAGATGAAAATTAATATGAGGAATGAAATATGAGGAAAATGAAGTAAGAGGAATACCTACACTAAAGATAGCATAATTACTTCTTGAACACATTGTTATTTTATTTTTTTAAAGATTTATATTTATCTACTTGAGAGAGAGAGAGCACCAGAAAGAGTAGGAGGAGGAAGGGCAGTGGGAGAGAGAAGCAGACACCCCAATCAGCAGGGAGCCTGACGCAGGGCTCAATCCTAGGACCCTGGGATCATGAGCTGAGTCAAAGGCAGACACTTAACCAACTGAGCTACACAGCGCCCCTAACACATTATGATTTTGATGACACTTTTAAAAGTAAGAGAATCAGTAATTATGCCTGCCCATAACATGCACTTTTTCTTCCAAACTGTGAATTTTGTGTTGTCCCAATTATATTCTCTACCTTTATTTTTACATTTTATCAGACTTCTAAATTCCAATTCCTTAAAAGTATTGCAACATTTTCTTTTTAAGGGGAGAAACTCTTAATTAATAAACCTTTCTTTTACAAAGGATTTGTACTAGAAAATTAAGATATTTTATATGGAACTAGACATACTTCCCTTTCCTTTCAATGAAGAGACTTCCTGGTATGTGCATGGTTATAATCAATTAGATCTGTCCAATGATGTGGATATCAGATTTACATCTTTAATATCTTAGCAGTCAAGAGAAAACAACTTTTATTCAACCTATATTTGACTATGTTATAATGTTATAATTGACTATGTTATAATTTCCAGCAACATAATTTAGAAACAGGATCAAACTTAAAGAGTTCCAAGCTACACATTATGGTTTTGCTTTTAACTAATTAATTAAATGGGACTTAGCATTTCATAAAACTGATCAATTTCTACACCTGCGAAGTGAGACAGTTAACTAAATTATCTTTATGGTTTCTGTCCACTTAAATGTTCTAAGACTGTACATTTCAGTTGCACTCATTGACTTTGATCCATCTACAGGGGGATTTGATCATCTTCAGAGTATCTCATAGCTCTGTACTCCTGCCAACCCAGCCAGTGTGTGGAAGACACATGGCTGCTGCTGCTGAGCAGTTCTGAGACAGCTTAACTCCACCCTGGGGACAGTCTAAAATGGTGGAAATTATCAAAGGACTCATTGCAAGAGAACAAGAACTTCTGTCTACAGAAAGCAATAGTAAGATGATCACAGCAATATTATCATTGTAAAATAAAATAAATCTGAACCTTAAATAATACTTGATATATATATATATTCAAATCAATTAATCAAAAAATTTTGTTTTAAAAAAGTTGGAAAAATCAATCTTAAGTCAGTCTCTGGAGTCCAAGGTAAACCAAGTGTTAAAATAATATTTGGTCACTATCCTGTCTTTGAGGATCTCATGACTCTCTGTAAGTTTTTCGTTTGTATTTCATTCATGCAAATATCCATACGATGAGTGTTTTACTACCCAAAACATAAGGTAACAAACACAGTGATGGAAATAGACTTACTACATCCAAAATTAAGAGTATGAGACTGTGTATTTAACACTAGAAATGACACAGAATTAAAATGTATGTTTAAATTTAAGTTTCTAAAGCATTAAATTATTTTTAAAAAGTATGAACTGATAGGTGCTGAGTTAAAAGGATGAATAAATTTTACACTGTCATTATTGTATTTAGTGTAGCATGTAAGAGAGATCTGTAAATAAATAACTATAAAATACTTTGAAAAGTGTTAGCATAGAGAAAATCTTTTGGAAAACAAAAAGCTTGAGCTTAAGTATTAAAAATATAACAGCAGGGTGCCTGGGTAGCTCAGTCAGTTAAAACAAATGACTCCTGGCTTAGGCTGAGGTTTTGATCTCATGGGTGGTGAGATCAGTCTCACATCAGGCTCCAAGCTCAACCAGGTGTCAGCTTGAGATTTTCTCCCTCTGCCCCCACACCTCTGGCCTTGGGTGCACATATGCCCACGTGTGCACACTCTCTCAAATGACTAAATGTTTAAAAAAAATATATAAACTATTTACTAACTTTGTGAAAGATCTTCTGTTCTAAACTTTGAAACAACTGTGACAAATACTTTTTAAAAGTAGATATTTTTGCAAGAAACAACACTTGACATCTCATTAAAAGAACAATCTGGGGCACCTGGGTGGCTCAGTGGGTTAAAGCCTCTGCCTTCAGCTCAGGTCATGATCCCAGGATCCTGGGATCGAGCCCCGCATGGGGCTCTCTGCTCAGCGGGGAGCCTGCTTCCCTTCCTCTCTCTGCCTACTTCTCTGCCTGCTTGTGATCTATCTGTCAAATAAATAAATAAAATCTAAAAAAAAAAAAAAAAGAACAATCTTCACAAATGTTAATAACAAGTGTTTCTTGGTTTGTTTTTAACTGTATCATAGGTAATCTAGTCATGGTTGTTTTTCTTGGGGTATCTATATATACAATAAAAATATTTTAAACCTTTTAAGCAAATATGGAACATTTTAACCTATGAGTGACTGCATTCGGCCTGAAGAATGAAAGAATGCTTTGAATGTTGCATGTTTAGTAAAATAGTGTTTTTTCCTAAGATAGAATGGTTATATCCCTGGGGCCTAACTCCGTGCACTACTGACTACACACTTGAATGGCCTTTAAAATCCTTGAAAGAGCAATGTATGACTTTAATTCACACCAAGTGTGAAGACAGCTCTACAGAGAATCTGAATTGCTATGTGTGATATACTTAAAAAATACTGAAATACTTAAATAATACTGGAATCATAAAATCATAGAATTTTAGTGCTGAAAAGGACATCAATATCTTCTAATTTATAACCATTTATGTGAAAAGAATTACTTCCAACACTTCTACTACCTGAAATCATGTAGTGAGTGCATAGTTTATGGAGAAGGGCAATTTAATCACATCAAATATGCTTCAGTATTCTTAAGGAAGAGTGAAAATCCGAGCTTCCCCAGGCAATCTGGCTTTTTTAGACTTGCAGAAACAGACCGTACCTTGGACTTGAAATGGACCTGTCACCCATCCCTCCACCAAAAGCAGTGTTCCGCTTATATAAAAGAGGGCTAAGTGTGTCCCATTTATAACAGGTTTCCCTTATTCAAAAAGCAGAAAGCCATGTAACATACCTCTTCACAGGCAGTCCTGAAATCCATGTGCTACGGCACCTCAAAGGATGTCGTCTGAAAAGACAGAGAAATGGTAAGCCATAAAGCACAGCATTGAGTGTAAGAGTGGAAAAAGCTAATAAAGGAAAGCATAAGCAATTATGGAGCAGATACTCTGGGCAAACTGTTTATGGCCACCTGTAAGGGACAAGAATTCCCTGAGTACAATGAAAAGAGCAGAAGGTAAAGAAAGAAGTCTTAACTCCCGCCCTTGTGCATCGTAAATGGCTCAGTGTGACCCAGACTGTGCATTTCTATGCACCTCTCCACTCCAGTGAGCATTCAGACAGGATCTGAGACAGGATAAACCTCTTCTCTCAAGTGTTCTGTGCATTCCCAGCTTTCATTTTGAAACCTGAGTTTGCAACTGGGAAAGAAACTTCAAAGGAGTAATTAAAAGTTGCCTTTCATGTGGTTATCTCTTGAAAAAAGGTTGACTAATCTTTCTCTTTTTAATTAAAAAGCTGCATGCATGAATAATTCTCTCTGAAACAAAATTTTATTCACAAACAGTATGATGTAAGGAAACAAGCTATTTATCAGAGTGAATAAATTAAGATAAATCAATGTATGAAATATTAACACAGATTTATTTTGTGGTCATTATAATATGTAAATGGTGAACATGCACAAATGCATATAAAATGCATATTTTTAATGCTTTTAGATAATTTTATTTTGGTTATATGATAATAAAACCAAGAGAGGTCATAGAAATTTAACACCCGGACACTATGGAAAAAACGCAGAGCCAAAATATAATATAGTTTAGGTAAATGAGACTTTTAAGTGAAATGTATGGTGAACTCCACAGTAAAAGACTGGACTCCTCAAAATTAATCCTCCTCTCAGTCTTTGGAACAGTAAATTATTTAATAATTTATTACAGTAAATTATTTTGTTCTTTTTAGTAAGTGTGGGTGAAATAGAGCAGGGAGTTCACTTATGCTGTCACTGGATCATTGCTATTGACCCTGAAAGAAAAGAGACTGACTGTTTTCAATAGTCAGCTGAACATATTGCATTATATATTGAGTATTTTCCCTAAATAAGTTTTAAGGGTTGTGGACCTGGAAGGCACAAGCAGTCTGATTATAGTGAAGCTAGGTAGCAACAAATTATTTACAAATAAAAGGCAATTTGATGATAAACATCATAATTTGATGATATAAATTACTTAATCTTTTTTCTTTTTAGATTATTTTTTGATGGTAATCTCTTTTTTCAATTATTTAAATTCTAGCTAGTTAACATACAGTGTAATATTGGTTTCAGGAGTAGAATTTAGTGATTCATCACTTACATACAATGCCCAGTGCTCATCACAGGTACCCTCCTTCATCTCCATCACCCTCCATTTAGCCCTTCTCCCACGCACTTCCCCCCATCAATCTTCAATTTGCTCTCTATCTTAGAGTCTCTTATGGTTTGTCTCCCTCTCTATTTAAATTACTTAAATTTTTGATAGCCATGAGAAATTGGTTGTTAGTTTTAACAATCATTTTTCAGAATTGCCCTTAAAACTGTTGAAAAAAAACTATAAATATCTGCTTATCCCCAACTTTGATATAAAGTTATGCCTTTACTATAAAAGTAGAATTTCACTATTTATTAATTATATAAAAACATGGTCTATCTATCTATAACCAATTTCCTGCTACTAAAAAGCAACTAGATAAATAAACATGGGGTTATTTAACCATCTGTCTAAACATAAGCTCATGTTTAGTTTCATATGCTGAATATTAGTTCATACATTTTAAGATGTCTTAAATGCCTTCACCTCTGCTATTTTTAACATTTTCCTTCTTTTTCTTGAATCTTCCATTACCTTTCATCAACATATTAGGTATTGATTTCAATGCTTATTCAGAAAAATATTATCATGAGATTTGAAACAAGTAAGTTACTAGGTAAGAATAAATTGCATACTATAATAAAACTATGTTCAATGATTATAAATTTAAAAATTGGAGTAAAAGCTGTTCAGTTCCTTTATTTAAAAATTTTGAGACTTTTCTGTATAAACTTTTATATTAGAACAGCTTTAGATTTACATAAATATTGTGAAAATAACACAAAGTGTTCCCATATACCCCACATTCCTTTTACCCCTATTATTAACATCTTACATTTGTATGCACATTTGTTAAAGTTGATGGATCAATACTATCATATTATTATTAAATCCATACTTGATTCCATTTTTTTTTTCTACTGTCCTTTTTCTGCTCTAGGGTCCAGGACAGCACATTATATTTAATCACCATGTCTCCGGCTCTTTATGGCTATGACTGTTTCTCAGACTTTGTTTCTTTAAAATGAGTGTGACAGTTTTCAGGAGTACTAATCAGTAATTTGTAGAAAGTATTTACATTGGGATTATTCTGCTGTTTTTCTCATGATTATACTAGAGCTAGAGATTTAGGGAGGATACCACAGACATTGGAATCATTTAACCACATTGTATCAGTGGTCCACCTGTCAACAGGACTTATCACTGTGGAGGCTGACTGTAACCACATGACTAGGATATTATTTATCAGGTTTCCCCATTGGTAAGTTACTCTTTTCCCCTCTCTCCACACTTTGCTCTTTGGTTAGAAGTCACTATGAGCAGCTCACACTTATGGAGTGGGAAGTTATACTTTGTTTCCTTGAGGGTGAAGTGTCTGCATGAATTATTTGAAATTACATTGGAAAGAAGATGTGCCTGTTCTTCCCCCATTTAATTAATTAATTAATTTATTTACTCAACCCCTTACTTAGATCCTGATAGAGCAAGGTCAGCTGATAGAGCAAGGAAGTATACATATATATGGAAAGCCCATGTTGTAAGGATGTACCCAGTAACATTTATCCAGGCAAAATTACACTAAACTTCCACGTGTTCTTCCCAAAGAAAACAAAGATATAATTCTATCTGATCCTTTTAGCCTATTTCCATTTATATTTATATAAATATAACTATATATATATATTTATTTATGTTTCTATTTTTCTGACAGTATATGATGTCAGAAATAAATTATTCATATTTGGGGGAAGCTTTTAGTAAATGACAATATGTCAGTATTAATATATCTGAGTTAGTAACAAAAATAGGCTCGAAAAATAAAACACCATAGCAAAGGAATATCTTTTAGATGAACACTACCATTTGAGTGAAGGTTATATTGATAACTTTTGATTCTCTGCAGATGCAATGAAAGACGTCAAGGCTGTAATTAACCATAAGCTAAAATATGTAAACACCTGTAGAAAATTGAATGATTGACCCAGATTCTCTATCTCTCTTGGCACCCACTTCCATGCCATAAATTTATCATGGAGGGAGTATTTTCTCCATACATTGACTTTAGACTTGACCACGTGACTTGCTCCTGCCAATTTTGTTGATTTCTTAAATGGCCTTGCATGTTCCCACTGCTCTCTTGCACTTCTTGCATCTTGAGAAGCTGCCATACACTTGGCCTGAGCAAAGAATGACATATGTAAACCAAAACTTTTTTAAACGACCCACAGAACATAGGGTAAAGCAGAGTCACTCTCACATCCCTGACTAAATAGACTGACCTACAGCCAACCTCCAGATTCTAGAATAAAATAAAGGCTTAGTATTTGTAATGGTTAACTTTATGTGTCAGGTTGACTATGCTATAGTCCCTAGTTACTCAGTCAAACTCTGATCTAGGTTCGGCTTTGAAAAACCTTTGTAAATGTGGATAACACCTACAGTTGACTTACATTAAGTATTGGAGACTATTCTCAATAATGTGCATTAGCCTCATCCAATCGGTAAGAAGGCTTTGCTACCACAATTATATCCAATGCCTTAAAGTTTCCCTCTCTGTCTCTGTTTCTCTCTCCATACATATATGTGTGTGTTTCCATATGCATACATAAATATTTATGTTTATGTATATGTATATGTTTATGTGCATACATGCAAAGTGATTGTTTCTTTGGAGAATACTGCCTGATACCGATTTTGGAACCAAGAGTGGTTTTAGAGGAATAGAACCTTAAGAAGGCGTTTTCTGAATTGGTTCTGGGATTTCCAGAATTTGTTCTCGAATCTGATTAAAGGCACCAGTGACTCTACCTCAACCATGAAAGAAAACACTAATATAGCTATAGAAATATATAAAATATCAGCACTGA